GCCCCGCCCCGCCCATCCACTCTCACCCCCTCCCAAAAAGGCGCTCATGTGGTTTGCATCGCCACCCGGTTACTACGCCAACCACACCCGCGCCGAGGCGCGCGCCCAGCTCGCGTCCCTCGAGCGCTTCTCGCGGCTTCTCGGCAGCTTCCCGAAGGCCAGTTGGCCCACCTCCGCGGCGGGCGCGGATGTGCACCCCGTGTGGGGCCACGCGGCGCCGGCGGTGGCGGGTTATGCTAAGTTGGCGCGCCTGCTGGTTGAGGAGGAGGTCAAGCGGGTCCGGGTGTGGAACGACCCGCTGGGGGACGCCAACGCGGGCGCGGCGCCGCCGGCGGCGGTGAGCAGGGGGCCCGCCTGGGACGATTTCGGGGGCGGGACGGGAAGCAGATGGGAAGGAGGGGCATGGGGGGCGCAGCCGATGCGCATGCCAGGTCGCGGCAGGCAGGAACCGCGCTTATGCTATACCGGGAGCTGCCATTCGCATAGTGGCGTGCTCTGTCGATGACGAGGCGTCGACCATCACGGCATGTCAGCTGACACGACGCCGCCCCTTGGTTGCCATGATGTGATGAAACAAACACCCAACCCAACAAACAATTAGCCAATAAAAGAATCAGATGCCTCTAAAGCAACGTTGTAGCTGCACTCAACAGGCCTGTTCCCACAAGATCATCCCCTCGCACGGCCCCCATGCTAACCTCCCAGCCCTGGCACCCCCGCCGCCCTGCCAAAACCTTTGGCGACCCACTTTCCCACCCAGCCGGACCCATCTCCGCACGACCCCACCAACCCTCGCCCCAGCATCTCGCACGCATAATTGCAGCAAAAGACTAGTCTCTTACAACACAAACCGCAACGAAACGCTCCATTTAAAAGATATCGCCCCGTCTGACAACAACGGCTTCCCCTAAACCCTGAAACCTGCGGCTTCACAGGCGCCCTGGGCCGAGCTCGTCCCCCTGGCGTGGCAGGTGGACCCCCGGCTGGCGCTGGCCCTGCGGGACAGGTTCCCCTCCCTGGAGGGCGTGAGGCGCGGCCTGGAGGCGCTCGTGGTGGCGCACGCGGCGGAGCCTCGGGTGCGGGGGTGGAGGGGGGGCAGGGGCGGGGCTCGCGCTCGCGCATTGCATGTAATGGGGGGGAGGGCGAGCCTGTTGCCATCTGCAACGTGGTACTCCTGGTTGTTGATTGTGTGTGTGTGTGTATGTGTGTTCGCGTGAAGGGTCCTATTCAGGATGACATGATCATATGAAATTGCACGGCGCGCCCGAACCACCAGATCTGCGGCATGTGACACGCGTTCAGGCGGCCCCCGTTGCAGATTTGCTGCCCCGACTGACGCGGCTGTCCGGCCCGCCCCCGCAGGTGCAGCGGGAGCCGGCCGCGGCGCTGCTGCTCGCCGTCGCGCGGCCGCCCCCGCGCGGGCCGCCGCTGCTGCCGCTGCTGGCCGCGTGGGCGCCCGGGGACGCGGCCGAGGGGCTGCAGCTGCTGTGCGGGCCGGCGGCGCGGGAGCCGGCGGTGCGGTCGTATGCCATCAAGTGCCTGCTGAATGAGAGGCCGGAGAAGGTGGGGGTTGGTTTTGTGTGGGGGAGCTGCTGGGCGTGCGTTGGTGTGTGTGGGGGGTGTTTGCGTGGGTGTATGCGAGGTTGTGCATGTGTGCGCTCGCATGTGTGCATGTGTGTGTGTGTGTGTGTGTGTGTGTGTTTTGTGTGTGTGTGTGTGTGCGCATGTGTGTGTGTGTGTGTGTGCATGTGTGCGTGCGCTGGCAAGTGCAGTCGCGGAGTCATGTGTTTGTCGCATGTACAATGGAGAGTGCACATCCGTCGACGGTGCACCCCAGCAATGGCGGCGCTCCCTTCAATCAGCCCCAATTTGAGGTGAGGCTCCTAATCCCCGTGACCCCCCCCCCAGTCCTGATTGCCCTTCTCACCTCCTCCCTTGCCGCCAACAAACCCCCTAAAACCTCCCACGAGCAGGTGGTTTTCTACCTGCCGCAGCTCGTGCAGCTCCTCCGCGGCGACGACGGCGCCGTCGCCGGCTTCTTCGCGGCCGCCGCCGCCGCGTCTGACCTGTTCTGCCACCAGCTGATATGGGCGCTGGCGTCGGAGGCGCGGCCGCCGGAGGAGGCCTTTGATCCAGAGGTCAAGAGGTGGGTGGTTTGCGCGCAGCTCTGTTGGAGGAGGGTGGCCGCCGTCGATTTTCGGCAGGCGTACTGAGCTGTTGTCAGGTGAAACAGCTGCCGCCAAAGGCGGCGGGCGATGGGAAGGGGGGCAACGTGTCTGAATGTGTCGGAGAGGGCGGGCGCTGTCACAGGGTAGCAGATGTTCGCAGCTGTCACAGGAGTCTTTCAACCCCGAGGTCAAGGAGTGGGGTTTTGCTTGCAGCGCTGTCAAAGGGGGATCAATGCCCGCTCCCTCTGCCTTCATTCCCTGCAATTCCATCAGTCGCGTGCCCTCATCGTCGGTCCAGCCCTCGTGTTGGCCGGCCCTCTTCACCCGCCCCCAGACCTCAACTGCGTACCACCTCCTTCAACAGCAGCCGGTTGGCCCTTAACCCTGAACCCTGAATAACCGCATTTCCTGCGAAACCCGCCGGGCAGGTCTGGGTGGCAGCCCCCGAAGGACACGGGGCTGTGGGAGGTGTCTCAGGCGGTGCGGCGTCAGATCGAGGCGGGGATGACGCGGGAGCAGCGGGAGTACTGGGAGGCACAGGGCGGGTATTTTGATAAGGTGGGTTGATCATGGTGATGATGTGTGTGTGTGTGTGTGTTTTTGCACGTGTGTGTGTGTGTTTGAGTGTGTGTGTACATGTGTTTATGTCCACGTGTTTGTGTGTGTGTGTGTGTGTGTGTGTGTGTTGCGATGCAATTTGGGGTGTGTGGGCGGTTGCCACAGGGAAGACAAACGCAAGTACGCGATGACAAGCAGCCAGCGCGCGAAGATGTTCGCAGAGAGGAGCCGCCCGGTCTCCACAGAGGGGCCGCGCGGTCCCTCCACCATTGCGCGTCCGCCCACCGCGGCCCGCGCCCACGCCCCCTTTCGACCGCGATGACGCCAGGTGACGTCACTCTCGGGCTACCTGTACAAATTCTCGAAGGACGAGCGGCGGCTGAGGCTGGTGGAGGCCCTGAAAAAGTGGGTTGCATCACCGCACCCGGTCTCAAGATCAGGGCTAAGGCTGGTTTCAATGCTGCGAGCGCTAGATTGCCACCTCACCAAACACCACACGGCAGCGTTTGTGACGGCAGGGCGGCTCGCCCTGCAACCCCACCTGTGAATTACTCGAGCGCCCTGTTCAACCAGACTGACCAGCATGACACGCCGCCAACTCTGGGAACCCACTAGGTTCCTAGCGACACACGTTCGACTCCACCCAATGACATCCCCTTCTTTCCTCCCCGCTGAATCACGCACCTCGCTGCTGATACAGACGCCGCGAGTTCAACAACAACGCCGCCGTCCCTCCGACAAACTCCCTGCCCTCCCCTCCCCTGTCCACCCACCCCCACACCACCCCGGCCTCACCTCCCCCGCAACGCACCTCTCAGCCCTCCAACGTCGCGACGACCCCGCAACCGCAGGTTCTCTCCGCCCCGTGACGATCTATACATGCCCACCAACCCAGACGCGCGCGTCCTCGGCCACATACCCGAGAGCGGCGCGTGCATGCAAAGCGCGGCAAAGGCGAGGCCCCGGGCTCTGTCGCTCATTGCTCGGCCGGGCTGGGACGGGCGCGGCGCGAGCGGGCGGGACTCATGCTGTGCCCACGGCAAAGCCGCACCCCTAGTGCGTCAAATGAACGATGCGTTTCAAGAACGTCGCGTTTCAAGCAGAAACAAATCAGACAAAATTGTACAAGTTTTGTTGAACGCCCAATCGAGCGCCCGAAACCCTTCCAATCGCAGGTGCCGATACTGGTCGCCTTCAATGTCGAGCGGCCGCAGCTGGTGGAGGGGGCAGCAGCGGCGGCGGCGCTCGCGGCGCCCAGCGGCGGTGGCGGCGGGGAGGGGGGTGATGGGGGGCCTGCCATGGTGCGGAGCAAGCTGGCGTGCATCTTCAAAGTGGGGGACGACGTCAGGCAGGACGTGGTGGCTTTGCAGGTGGGGCGGGCTGCAGGGGGGATACTTTACGCGCGCACGTGCGCGTGCGCGCGCGCGCGCGTGTGTGTGTGTGTGTGTGCGTGCGCGCGCGTGCGTACGTGCGTGCGTGCGTGCGTGCGTGCGCACAAGTTACTGGGGTCGTGTTGCAGGTTTGGATTACATCCGAGCACGAGCGTCACACACACACACACACACACACACACACACACACACACACACACACACACATCCAACCACGTTGCAACCCCGCAGGTCATCACCCTGCTCCACGCCGCCTACAAGCGCGCGGGGCTGGGCCTGTACCTGCGCCCCTACGGCTGCCTGCCCACCGGCTACGAGTGCGGCATCATCGAGTGCGTCCCCAACTGCAAGTCGCGCGCAGCGCTGGGGGAGCTGAGCGACAGGTGGGTGCTATTTTGTGTGTGTGTGTGTGTGTGTGTGTGTGTGTGTTCGTGCAACGGGCTCATAAGCTGTGTGTCGTGTGTGCTGACCTGCGAGTCGCGGGCCGCCCTGGGGGAGCTCAGCGACGGGTGGGGACGGTTTTGTGGGTGCGGGTGTGTGTATTGTTGGGTGCGCATGTGTGTGCGTGTGTGTGTGCGTGTGTGTGTGTGCGTGTGTGTGTGCGTGTGGGCGTGCGCGCGCGTGTATGTGTGTGTGTGTGTGTGTGGCGTGCGCGCGTGCGCGGGTGTGCGTGTGTGTGGGTCTGGGTGTGGGTGTGTGTGGTTGTGGGTGTGTGTGGGTGTGGGTGTGCTCGCGCACGCACGTGTGCACACGCGTGCAGATGCGTGCAGCATCGCCTCGCGTGCTGCTGCGGCTTCAGGCGTTTTTGGTTCATAGGAGGGGCAGCAGGCAAACCTGGCAGGGCCGCAGACTGCAGTGCTGCCGGCGGCCGGCGCGCCCTGCAACCACCGCCGCTCAGCTGCCGCTCGGCCGCCTCAGGACAGGCCAGCGACAGGTCTGTAATGCCGGGCTTGCTGAGAGAGGCCTGGGGCGCCGGCTGTGGCGAGCCGGTGCCGCACACGAGCCCGCGCTGCTGCACCGTGGGCCCCGCCAACACTTGGCTGCGGGTGCCGCCCGGTCCTGACCGATCAAAAACGCACGTCCAGCCCCGCACAACGCACACATTGCCACCCCATCCTCCACACTCCCATCGCCACCATCAAACCACCCCACCCCCACCCAACCCTAAAACC